CCTGAGGATGCTGAGAAGAGGCATAGATTTGATCCCTTCTTGGAGTGGCAGGAAAGGAAACGACAAGAGATGCCCTGGTCTTCACAGCAGAAAAAGATCAGTGTTGGATGATCAAGGGGGAATACGAGAGTTACTGGGGCATCCTGGTGGCTATTTAATCTACAAATAGGAAATGAGACTCTCTCTCTATTGTGGCAGCCTTCCCTTTTCTTACAGCATCCCAAACCAGCACAAGTGTTCAGTTTAGAAGATCGAGACAGAAAATGTCTCTCTCCTCTCTCTCTCTCTCCTCTCACTCACTCACTCAGTCTCCACACCCCCCGTAGACTACATCTAGCCAGAATACACATTAGAAACTGGGAAACTGGGCAGCACCCCACCCCATGTCTATCCCATCCCTTCTCCAACATGAAACTTAGGAATTAAAGGGGATCGTCATTGGAATCCCAAAGAAGGAAAATCTTACCTGCCATGGTCTTACTACCTGAGGTACCAGATGATCACCAACCTGCATCCTTCTCTGACTCAGGTGGGAGGAATAGACAGCATGGAGGACCCAGGAGACAGCCTGGATTGCAGTGGAAATACTGGAGCTGTCCTCAGACAGAATCTCTGCAACCACATTATGGGATGGGATTTCCCAGTTCTCTTTTTCTATGCATCTTCCCCAAATTCTCTTTGACAACCCAGGGCTTGAATAGGAACACTGAAATGCTGTCTTCACAAATTTTTTGAGAACTGAGAAATATGAATTTAAATCATAAGATTGTGTCTTCTTGTTGTTCTGGGTTAAGAAGGAGAGCAAAAGGTGTTTATGCTGGAGGTTAACAAATTGGTAAAAGTATCTCACACTTATGTCTGTCAAAGCTGTTGCAATCCACACTTTCTCCCCAAACTTATCATTAGCCTTTTCAATATCATGTATTATTATTGCTAGTAGAAATGAGGCTTGAAAGTCCAATTGACAAAGGATAATTTTTACTTGACTGTTGCTAAAATATTGAAGGATGTCCTTTCTTTTCGTCTTATTTATCACAGGGAGGATTTCTGAGAAGGCAAC